GACATGCTCTTGCTCTCTGTAAATAAAGCAAAGCCACTTCCTGGTCCGACATTAAACAGAGCCTGACAGAGGAGGGAGGGGCGGGGAGGCTGTTGACGTGCAGCGCTTCAAGAGCTGACCTGCGTCTGACCTCAAAGTGCACAAGCGACCAACTTCAGCGTTGGCTGCGATTTTGAAGCTGAAATCGCGTTCGGTGTGAACACAGCATAAGAATTACTCTTCTGAAGACTGAGAACACCACTGTCCTCCTCCCCACCTGAGATTGATTCCATAAGGTGGAAAACAGATTTAATCAGAAATACAAAAGAAAGTAAATAAATAAAAACTGCTGATAATGTTTGACTAAAAGGCAGATATTTATGTGTGGCTTTTGGAGAAAATATTAAATATACTCAGCTGGTGAGTGCATGCACCTCTCCCCCCAAAAGAAAGAGAGAAAGAGAAAGAAAGAAAGAAAGAAAGAAAGAAAGAAAGAAAGAAAGAAAGAAAGAAAGAAAGAAAGAAAGAAAGAAAGAAAGAAAGAAAGAAAGACCTTTAACATGTTTATTCATGTAACAATTCCAAAACATTGCAATCTTTCACATTTCAAAGACAAAGAAAAAGACATTTCAAATATTGAACAGCTCACAGAAACAAACAAAGCAAAACTACACAAATAAAAGAAAGAAAAATAATTCTAAGAAGTGCAAAATGAGCCTGTCATCTTCTCCCAATGAACATAAAAGATTTTGAATATCCCACAAGTCTGGAAACATGTTCAAATTACAAGTAATACTATAAAAAGCATGCTCCACTTTTAGTCCTGATGCAACCAACCCCTTAAATCTAAGCACTATATTTGTCCAATATTGTTCAGACATTTTATTCTTCCTAGTTTTCCAAATTGCTAACTTTGCCATTCCAAAAATGAAATTAATTAAAACTAGAGTTTTATTTTTAGTAGCTGTATATTTAAGACTAAAAACAAAAACAGCTGTGGAGAATTGTTCACCCAGGGCTTCCACCCACTCCCTCAAAATCCTGAACAAACCTTTCAACCTTGAACAGGACAAAATCAAATGTTCCAGTGACTCTTGATGTCCACAGAAACAACATTCCTCCCTTTCATTTGGGTCAAAGTGAGCTCTGTGTCTGTTCGTAGCTATTGATCCATGTACAATCCTCCACTGGAGGTCACCAACCTGCTTTTCAACAGGTGGCTTATACAGGGTCCTCCATCTGCCTTTAGGGGTGAGAACTGAACCAAAAACCTGAGTCCACCTCGACTCCCTGATACCAAGTAGAAAGCACATATTCAGTACTTTTACACAGCTTTGATAGAGCTGCTTCTTACCACAGGAACTGAGAGCTCCCAACACAGGCGTTCTCAGAGACAGAAGCAGTCCACTATCCTCAATGGAACAATCAAAAGCTGGAGAAACAGAAAGTACTGGAAATATTTTCTCATATTCATCATTCCATTTGTCAGTTAGAGCACGATTTTCAGCAAATACTCTTAAGTGGCACAGGTAAGGACTGCCAGACTTCTTCCACAATCCTCTTCAGGGTTCTGCTGGACTTAATGTTAGTGATGTTGCATAACTTTTCCATTGATATTCTTGCCAGATGACCAAGTTTCACAATCCCAGCTTGAATGAATTTAGTCCTTATTGTTGATGATGACAACAAACAGTCTTGTGCAACCAAAGCACTGTAGGACAGTGGTTTTTCAAAAACCAATCAACCAGGTATAGGATCAGGATCATGAAAAACTTTTAAGGTTCTCCAAGCATCAATTACTGAGCAATAGAAAGCTGTTAATGAAGTCAGATCAAGTTCTGTTTTTAATAAAAGATGCTTATCCAGTCCAAGGTGTCCAGCTTTCTGGAGGAGCAGTCGAGCCAACGGCAGCCAACAGTAACCACATCCATAAAGCAGCTTTTGAGCAGTTTGCTATCTGAAAGCAGCAGTCTTGGCCATAATATCGATAAGTCCTTGTTCCCTTCTGATACAGGGAGAAACAGTGCAGACGCTTTCAGCCAGTGGTGCCCAGACCAGAAGAAATTCACAATAAGATGCTGAATATCTGCAATAAGTCCAGCTGGTGGAACCATCACAATGACCCAGTGTCACAGAGATGAGGCGACCAGATTGTTTGTGATCAGAACTCTTCCCCTGTAAGACAGCTGAGGTAGCAGCCATTTCCATTTAGACAACTTAGATTCAACCTTTTCCCGCACACCCTCCCAGTTCAGTTTCTGGAAAATATCATTGCCCGTAAATATTCCCAAACGTTTAGTACCATTTCTTTCCCAGAATAAGTTTCCTGGCAAGCTTGGAATATCATCTGTGCACATTTGCCTGTAAGAAAATATCAGTGTTCAATTAACTGAAGTTGAGATGCAAACCCATAAACGTGAAATAAATTGAAGTGTGAAGATATGAGGCCATACAACTAGATCTGGAAATGAGCGGAGCTTTGTTGCTCACAAGTGAACAGCCAAAGCAGCGCTGACAGCAAACCGGATTTCCGATCTTTTAATACAGCTGGCTTCAGTGCCTGCTGTGCCCCCTGCAGGCCTACGGCTGCATTGCAGGCCACTCTGAACAGCAAAACTCCTCTACTGAATTCATAAGCGGTTTTTTATGTGTTGACAAATGTTCCGGACATGTATCTACATTATTAATCAAGATATAGTAATCATCAAACAATAGGTCATAATAGACAATACCTGAATAGAGAAAATAAGAAAATAGTGTGGTGCTTCTAAACCAGTATCTAACTAATAAATTCCCTGCAATTCCTCCTGGTCACATGACACAAATCACGTGACCACACTAAGGAATTTATAATAAAAATCTACTGTGTATGTCCGCATTAAAGCAGAATCTGTGTGCATTTTAACTAAGCGTACAGCACAAACGTGGAAAATTGTGTAACAACCCACCCCTGATTAGGAAAATATACTGTAATAAATCCACTCGACAGCCGAAGTCCCGATGAACAGGGTTTTATTTTCACTATAACGAGCTGCTATTTTCGGAGGCTACAGCTCACGCCTCGAACAACAGAACCGGAACTCTCTCCCCAAAAAAACCCGCCAACCACAACAACACTTCCGGTCCTGGCCCCGCCACCCTACTAAACTCCGGCCCACCGGACGGGTACAAACAAACACTTGTGCGGGTCAGACCGCAAAAAGCAGACCATGATCCTCCACACATACACAACATGGGCTTCAAAATAAACTTACAACCTGTAACACATAACACGAAACAGTATCAGAACTTAAACACAGAATCATTACATCCATCCATCCATTTTCTTCTGCCTATCCGGGGTCGGGTCGCGGGGGCAGCAGCTTCAGAAGGGAGGCCCAGACCTCCCTCTCCCCAGCCACTTCTTCCAGCTCCTCCGGGGGAACTCCAAGATATTCCCAGGCCAGCCGTAAGACAAAGCCCCTCCAGCGTGTCC